CGAACACCTAACAGTGCTAATATTGCATGGCACCCTAGAGCAATCCTAAAAGGATGCCATGGGACCCTGTTTGCAAATCACTGCCATATTGAACCCAACAATGCTACCTTTCAAATTCATGTGAGGAACTGCTGTAGTATATTATAAACCATTTCTCCCTTCCATCTTCACCAAGCACACTAAAAACATTTTCAGAGCTTACCAGGCTGGGATGCAGACAGAAGTGACAATTTTCACCTGATCTGCCCACAGAAAGCAGTTTATAGCCATGACCAAACAAGTGCACAGGTGCAGACAGATTAAAAAATGGCCAATCAGGTGAAAATCTGAACCTCATCACATTAGGGGTCAGTTGAAGATGTTTCAAAACAGAGCATCTTCTCTAGCTTCTGTTTGCATTGCCAGACACAAAGATCATGAAATGAATTCTTTGTCTGGACTTGAAGTAAAAATTGCAGTTTTGGAAGCACAGTTATAGTTAAACAATTTGCAAATACAAAGATTATTTGGGGAGGGGAAAGAGCTGTAGAAGCAGAGGGCTTCTTAAAATATTTCTCAACATCTTTAAATGAAAATAAAGAGAAATTTAAACACTGATAGCCAGATTTCAAAACAAGATTAGGCTTCAAGGTCTGTCAAAAGAAAGTGCTTCTCTGAGATGGAATCAAGTGCCAAAAAAACATGTTTCTTTTGCTATTCTGAGCAGTTTTGTCTCCACCCCTTTTTCTTAATGCTTTTTCCATTTAGCATTCAGAACTCTGGGAAAATATTTAGCACAGACTGCACACATACTAATCTATGGTATTATTCATTTATCACACTGAAACACCAATTCTGAAACACTATGAGAGAGAAAGAACAAAGGGTGCTGCACTCTCATCTTCACTTCAGTGTCTGGAGTCGGTCTCCTGATCAAGTTTTGGCTTTCAAGAGAACACAAAAGTAACACAATAAGGAAATCAGAGGCCTAACACCATTAAATAAGGGAACCCAAGACAATAAGCCAAGGATCCTGATGCATATTTCCCTCTAGATTACCAATGAGGCACAACTGGGTTTTCATGATCATGTTACTAGGTGGGTGGGAAATGAATATCATTGTGGACAGGAGTGGTTGGATATTGTCCCAGTTAACTGCAGCCAGCTGATGAATTGCTTTTTGCCTCTGCCATGAAGAACCATGCAGGAAGTAAATATTAAGGGCAAAGACAGCTCCTCAACTCTAATCCCACCTAAGTCTGAGGCCAAACACACTGATCATGAAAAATACCCTTGTGTTTGCCAGGCATGCACACGCAAACAAGAGAACAGACATTCAGGCTATTTTCCAAGGAACAGAAAAATTCAATTTTCTAGCAGAACATGCTGCTTTCATCTCGCTCAAACATTAGTAACTCTCTCTGCCTGTCTGTTCCAGATTTAACAAACAACTTCTTCATTAGGAAACACACACTGCATTCTAAACAAAAGGGAACACTTTAAAAAAATAAAGTGAAGCCTGTCAAAACTCAGATTTTAATTTCAGAATTCTTTTCACTTAACTTCTAGAAGAGGTCAAAAATCTTTCAGAGTGTGTACTTAGTTGAGCAATTCCATCAACATTGAAAGCTAAATTGCTATTAACAAATTCACCTATTGTCTACTCAAAATATCAGTACAGTAGTAAGCGTCAAGCCAAGTTACCAAATACTTGGAGTTCTCCAAACATACTGCTCCTGCCTAACCACACTATAAAGAGCTGTGGAATTTTCTTATAAGACACATTTTGGCAATAATAAAGCCACTGGAGTTTGTGCTTAAGCCCCTCCCTAAATACACCATAAAATGAAGTATAAGAAGTCTCATACTTCTCATATACTCTTTTCTAAGTCCCAATTATGTTCTGAAGAAACTGTGGAGATGGGAGGGATCAGTGTACCTATGCAATGGATCTACACTGGTAACATCCTGTATTAAAAAAAAAAAGTTTACTGAGAATTAACCTCTCTGTTTTACATAAAATTGTTTCTGCAGTACTGCAAAGCATGAAAACTAACTAAAGGTGACAACCTCCAAAGATAAACAGTTTACTCACTCCTCCCCAATCCTGCCTCTAAGCAGAGAGTGCTAACCATATTCCTGCTATGCCAAATTCTGAAGTGGAAACTTTAGATTCAGACAGTTGCCCTGCATAAGCAAAACACTATAGCTGCTTTGCCCAGAGCAGGAAAAAGCTGCCTTCTCTGGTGCCAAGATTCCTGCTAAATTTTAGGGGATTATAATGTACAATTAGATTATCTCCAATAACCTTTGTACCAAAATAATATGTTGATTTCTTTCTGAAGAGCATAAGCAGCCCAAGAAATCTTTTGAAACACATAAATTAATAAAGGGTGCTCCTGACATGCCAGGCAGAGTAAGCAACATGATTTCCTGTGATATATCATGTGGTGTTGGAAAAAAAAAGGCCTACAAGGCATACTGATTTATTTATATGAACTCAGCAACCACTTTCAACGTATTAGGGCAAATCTGTAACCACTTCTTTTTGGAAGAGCACATGAAGCAGGTCAGCTACCAGACACACTGCAGTTCACTGATATTTCTTGATAAAGTTGAACTGCCAAAAATTCCTTGCTCGAAGAAGGGTGGTACAGAGAGCAATTAACTCAAAAAAGAGACTCAATAATGTTGTTAGACCCATGCTCACTGTTCAAAAGGTTTATACATTGTGAGGGGAGGAAATACATAACTTTACTGCACTTCTGAATAATAACGAAGACGTGCAGGGAGGAGAAATGTTAGAATTAAAGAATCATAGAAAATTAGGGTTGGAAAGGACCTCAGGAGATTATCTAGTCCAGGGATGGGCAAAGTGCAGCCCGTGGGCCAGATGCAGCCCGCCAGGCCATTCTATCCAGCCTGTGGGGCACCTAAAAATTTAGAAAATTAATATTTATCTGCCCCGGGCTACCTGTCGTGCGGCCCTCGATGGCTTGCCAAAACTCAGTAAGCAACCCTCCACCCAAAATAATTGCCCGCAACTGAT